GCTAGGAATGCCAGCATCCATCAAGGCCATACTACCTACAACACAGAAAGGTTCATAGTGAATTTTTTCTCTATTTTATTAAATTTCACCCATCTATTCTCCTGTTTGTGCACCTTATTACGAGTAACAACTTACATCATACTTTTTTTTTACTATTTTTTTTGTAACAAAAATTCTTTTATTAAAAAAAAAGGATAGTTATGTCACCATCTAAATCAATTGGCGTGTGTTTGATTTGGTGTTAAAAACACCTAACCGCCCAACACCTTTGTTGCTTCTCAATTCTTACATTGGAAAGTGAGAAATTACAGTTCCGTTTAAAAAAAATGCATACCCAAACATGCTGTTAGAAGTTAAAACTTAAAACTTCATCAGCAAGAAAGATATTAAAAAAGAAATTAAATTTTCCAAAGCTTAAATGTGAATTAAGAACATCAAATGGCATCACAAATGCTTTAATTGTGGGTTGAAAGAGTACCTCCACATACAGTTGCCATTGATGTTGAGCCATCAGAAGCCATGACTTCAGAGTTCACACGAACAGTGTAAGGAAAATCTTCTTCAGGAGGCAAAACAGCGAGAAGGGCTTTCTCAGCAAGTGTTCCTACAAAAGTTAAACAACAAATCAGCCAAGCTCTTTAATTAATGAACTTTAGATTGGTAAAGCCAAATACAATTACTTAGGATTATTAAGAACACCATTTCTTTCTGGTTTCCAAAATAAATATCCTTATTTGACCATCTGTTTATTATCTTTTATATAGCTGGGGCTTACAATAAAACAAGTCGAAAGCTAGAGAAATCAATTGTTGAAAAGTAACTTTGTTCTTTCATATAAATTATTTTATGTAATTCCTATCAATTTATAATTTTAGAGTCACTGCCAACATAGAATGATAGATCAAAGTTGTGTTATTCACCACTTTTCAAGCCTTTTACAATCCTATTGAGTTTATACCCGACACTTTCATATAATAAGAGACATCAAATTTCATTACACAATACACAGCCTTTAGATAATCATTTATTTTTATTATAAAGAAAACAATTAATTTTGATTTTTAATATTGCGTATAATCTTGTTAACATTAATTTATTCTCTCCCCATACCAATTATTACTCAACTTTCTACTGTCATTCACTCCATCCAAAAAGCATTAGAGCATCTATCATAAAGAACAGAAAGGGATGGATCTGCAGCTAAAGTCAATCTCTCAGATGATAGGAGATCCAGCTTTCGTAGATTTCCCATGTTCCTCCTCAAATAGCAATAGCCCAAGCTTCCGCAACAAAATTCCCAGATTAGCTAATTAATTAAATGTCCAAATAGATAAAATCTTCTACTCCTGTTCTAGGGCCAAAATACTCATTTTTTGATAATGAGGAAGCACTCCAACAATAATGTCTTAAACTAAGGATGCATTAGCATATGATTTTTTTTATTAAAAATGCTTTTATGAAGTACTCCTCTGTTTCTTTTTATTTGTCCACTTTTGGTGGGAAAGATTCCAATTTATTTGTCCATTTAGAAGTTAAAGATAACATTAATTGCCTTCTTTTCAATTATACCTTTCTCCATCTAATTCTTAAATATTTTGCACACTAATCTTGGGGGAAATAATAGTGGAAATCATTCATTAATTTGTATACTATCTTTCAAAGTACCAGATGAAATAAACAGAGACAATATAGAGAGAGAGATTTTTAATCAAAAGCTGTTATTTTTAACTTCTGAGAAAATTCACTTAATTTTTAATTTTTTAATTTTTCAACAAACCTATCTAATTTATTATAATTTTTCAAACTTTTTTTCATTAAAACAACATTTTTTCCTTTTGGAAAATAAAAACAGCTTCTAATTTGTTATGAATCATAACTGGGGAGGTTTTGGCGATTTTGCAAATATGGGAGATCTCCATAAGTTGTGGATAGTCATAGTGAGTTACTCATTTACCATGACCAACTTCACGCCTGTTCAGACCACCGCGTTTACCAACTTCATTTATGCAGAAGGGAGGAAAACTGTAGTGTAGCATAAATCGCTTTGTCGGAGGACCAACTACAGACTCCAGGCGTTGAGCATCTGTAGGTGCTCCAAGCGTTACTGTACATAAGACCTGTCCATGCAATCAACATATATCACTGCAAATGGAAGTGAAACCACTCAAAATAAAATTATTATTTCACATCATTGCGATTATTTAACTTTCAACAAACAATAGCAAAAAAACATAAATATATCTGACCTGTGTTTCTCCACGGGAAAATAGTGCAGATCCGTGCAACATGGATAAATATCCAGCTTCACAATACAAAGGTCTTACTTCATCTAGCTGTCTTCCATCAAGTCTGTATCCTTCTGCAATAATTCTTTTACGGACCACCTATAATGTGTGAAAGTATAAACACCACTCTTCAACAAGTAAATTTGAAATCAACATGACAAGTACACACACACATGAAATAATTGTTAAGAATTAAATATATAGAGATAACATTATCAGTAATAACTCTTAAAAAAAGATAGCCAATCACCAATTTTTCTTTTCGTGCCAAGTGAATAATAATTATATAAAACAAAATCAGAATAATATAGCTACAAGCTACACCAGATTAGAGAGAGAGAGAGGAGGGAAGATTTTTACCAAGTGCAAATAAAGTCTTCCTTCTATATTCCTTTTCAAGTTTAGCACAAAATATTTTATGGCAAAGAAGTTTTTCTTTTCTTTAGAAACTTTAGATGATGATGAATTAGACCCATATCCCACTGGAAGAAATATTGAATTACACCAATTTTTTTATTACTTTCTATTTTACTCCAACAATAACCAAAGTGAATATCCTTCAATATGTGACCCCTACTAATAATCTTACAGTGAAATATTTATTCCTCCAAACCTATGGGGACATATAGAATTTATAGTCATCCAACATTTCATATTGTTAGATTTCATCTTAAAACCAATTGACATTAAGTGAAGTTGTCAAACAAATATATAAACCACACACAAAGAGGTAGGTGGTGTAAGACTTTCCAATACTCTCCGCCTATCAAACCAGGCGATGCCTACCAAAATAGGCAAACTAAGAAGATGGATTCTAAACTTTGATGATAGATTTCATTTTAAAACCAATTGACATTAAGTAAAGTTTTCCAACAGATATATAAACCGCACCTGGAGAATTAAGGCAAATAATATGGGCCTTCCCAACACATGTAACAAGGTAAAACTTTCAGAGTTATTAATTAAGGATAACACCCTCTTCCTCAATGGAAAAAATAAGCACATTAGTCTCTAAATTTCTAATAAACTTGTCACAATGCTCCATACCTTCTTCCTCACTGTATCTACAGCCTTTGACAAGACTTTTAAGCTTTCTTCATCACCTTCTTCTTCGAGCACTTTCTTTACATCTTGTGTAATATTTTCTAATGCTTCTCCACGTTCAAACTAGAAGAAAATATATAACAATCCAAAAGTATAATAAGTGAGAAAAGAATTTAGCTTTTGCAAAACACAAAAGGCAAGAAAACAAGAGAGGAAGAACAGAACACCTTTCCATAGGAAGGATCAGTAAAAACAGCTTCAATCGGTGCCTCTGCGATATTACCAACTTTCTCCAGTGTTTTGTCCGATAGCATAGACAATTTGTATTCCTTCTTAGATTTACCAGCTTTAGCAGCAAGTCTGATTTGAGGTTCAATATACTTAACTGCCTGAACAATTATAGTAACTCATCTCAATAACATTCAATTACCGAAAGAGTAAAACAAGTAACAAAGTTCAAAGTCACCTCCGGGTGAGCCATTCTTAACCCAGCTTCTAGGTCTTTCTCAGATATCTCACGAGCTTGCACATCGATCATCAAAGTTTTGTCCTTCGTACAGGCATAGATCAAGTTAAGATCACTTAACTTAAGCTGCAACACCACAACTAGAACCAGTAAGAGAACAAAAATAATGCAATTTAAAAAACCTAGTAAACCAAGTTCCAACAACAAACAAAAATACAATAATCACTTTATACGATGTAGCTCATTCAATATTACCTCATCCATGGTCGGATTTACAATAAACTGCCCACATATCCTGCCAATTCGAACCATTCCAATGGGACCGCCCCACGGAATATCTGATAACATAAGAGCAGCTGAAGTCGCATTAGCCGATAACACATCCGGATCTTGTTTTCCATCAGAAGAAAGAACACTTGCCGTTACCTAAAAGTGAGCCATTCCTTTTTTATTAGAAAAAAAAAACATCGCAAACAAAAATTGAACAAAAAACTAAAGAATTTAACTAGAATGTACTTTCAATGTAAAAGCTTTTTCCTTGTCCAATTACAATTTATCATGCATGGTAAGTTTATTAACGTCTACACCAACTATTTTAAAAGTCATACATAAAATGATTTCTGATTGATTTACCGTGTAAAATTCTTTAGACAATGCTTAGAAATTAAACTAAATAATAAATGAAAAGTAAATAGTCTATGCAATATCAACCGAGATCGCAACGGGATGACACAATGTATACAGGTTTTATGTTTGGCATAAAATTAGGATATTTTCAGATAAATTTCTCCACAAGAGTAGAAAAAAAATGAAATAAGTTTCTCTTATTCTTCATAAACTAAACTTAACTTGTGCATAAGCTAATTTGTAGAAATTTTCTCATATTAACTTTTTCAAAACTTATTTTTAACTTGAGCATAAGCTAAACTAGTATAGAGAAACTCATTTCATCCTTTCTTTTTACAACAACTACTTAAAAAATCATACCTACGATTTCTAATTAGTTAGTGTAAAAAATCTGTACATCGGTGCATAAAAATTAAACTCATAGATGAATCAGATAAACAACAGCGACATAACATACCTGAACCTCGTGGTAAAATCCCGGTAGAAACAACGGTCGAATCGGACGGTCAATGATTCGACCACACAGGAGTTCGCGTTCCTTCGGAGCACCTTCTCTCCGCATGAACGACGTCGGAATCACGCCTTGCACGAATTGCTTCTCCTGATAATCGACCTGCGATCACCAACGGCATTTTCACCGCACCGTCTATGCACAGACTTCACAGAAGAAGGTCACGAGAGAAGCAGAGGCACTTACGGTGAGAGGCAAGAAATCGCGAACGGCGTCGCCCTTAGCGGAGGTGACGGTAGAGAGGACGCTGGTGTTCTCCATGGCCAAAACGACGGCGCCGTTTGCGAAGCGAGCGATCTTACCTGTCTCGAGCGTGATGAGGCGCGAGCCGACTTCGAACTGCTCCGTGAAGGATTCGAGGTGCTTGACGGAGCCGGCGGCGAGGGCGTGGCGGCCGGAGCAAATGGTGCGGAAGCGGAAGGCGCGCCATGTGAGGAAGTGCGGCAGCGTGCGGAGGAGTGGCTTCGACCTTCTCATTCGCTTCTACGGTGAAAGAAATGAAGGAAAAGCTCGGTGATGGGGACGGTGCCACACAGGGTACAACACTAGTGTTACTTACCACCTTCAACTTCGTGTAAGGAATCTCGATGTAGGGTTTAGGGTTTAACGAGTAAAATTAAAAATAAATATAAATATAAATATAAATATGCATTTTTTAACTTAGCAACATAATTGTATTTCACGAAGAAAAATAATGTATTTTTCTTTTTTTTACAGTTTTGTGAGTGTTTATTAATTATTAATTTTCATTAAAAAAAAATTGATTCATCACCTTTGCTACCGTGTCAATGATTTTTTTTTCTCTTTTAATAAAAGTGTCTATGATTTTATATAAATATTTTTTAAAAAAATATGCATATTGAAGTTATGAGTTCACATCTACAAGGGAAATATAAATTAATGAATGTCAAAGAATATTAAAATAATCATGAAAATATTTATATATCGAGATGGAGTTATCAAAATATTAAATTAATGAAAATATTTAATGGATAGAAGGATGGAGTTAAAAATTTTATTTGATTAAGAGATGAATAAGGATTAATTCTTTTCTTATTTAGTTTATGAGAAAAAATAAATTTTAAAAGTTAATTTATTTTTTTTATCTTTGTGATTTTAAATTTAATAATATAAATAATAATATTTTGAATATTATTAAAAATATTTTAAAATTTATCAACTCTCTCCCAAATCTTCTAATATTGGAGAATAAATAAAATAGAGTTGGGAGGGATTTTGTTTTTCTTCCTTTCTAAAAATTTAATTAGAGAATAATTTTTTTTTTTTAATATCTCTTCCCTTACTTCCATTTTCTATCAATGGATATTATGTATCTTGAAGTCTTTTATGTTTCAAGAAGAAAAAAAATAATCTTGTATGTAAGAGACTAAAAAAAAGTCTAAGATGAAATATATATCAAGTGTATTTATCTCGTTAGATATATTATTAAAATATTTAATAATTGAAGTTTATTATGGTAAATTTAAATAGTTTCATATATAAATCTATTTTAACACTAAATTAATACCTTACTATGTTTATTTTTCTTAACTTTTACATCTATATTTAATGATAGTTCATTCATGTACCACATTACATAATATTTTAAAATGATAGTTTATCAACACAAAATTTAGCCGATCATTTTATATTGTAATTTATTTCAATTACATGCATATGTAAATGTCTTGATCATAATATATATCTCATTTGTCAAGTTTATTGATAGTGTATTGATTTTATTATTTAATACATATGTTTTATGGTTAATGTTTATATTTTAAAGACTAATAATGGTCACGAACCAAAAAGATTAAAGAATTAGGGATGAGAAAAAGAAAGACATTAAATTTTTCAAACTAAACTTTTATACTTACAAATGTGTTGAATTATAGTAAATATACCACTTGTAATGAACAAATGAGTCCATACTTTCATAATTTTGCAAGAAAGAATATCTTGGAATCAAATATTATGGATTTGCAATTTGAATATAGTGTTAGTAACACATTTTTCTTAATATTTTTTTGTTAGAAATTATTAAAAATTACAAAATCAATAAAGTCATAAAATGGAGTATGATACTTATCAACTTTTATGTTTTTCAATAAATTAAAAATAATATATTTTAAAAAAATATGTTACTAAAATTTCTCAACAAATTAAAGAAAATATATTTTAAAATAATATGTTACTAAAATTTCTCAATATCAAATAGTGATGACTTATGACCCAAAATTAAAAATCACAATATTTGAGTAAAGTTACATGATTAGTTAACTATGTATGTATTTAGTAACAAGTTTATTATCACTTGACGTGGTAGGAATAACGAATAAGTAACTATTATATACTTTTTCGTCAAAATTGACACGATTGATGCTTAAATATGAATAGTAGACGGTAATCGAAACATTGCTATAACAAGTTTAAAGTACTGAAAATTAAGTTTGACATTTTTTTTTTCTATTTCTCATTCACTTATTTCCAACTTTTTTTCTCCTTATTCGTTATTATCAAAAAGAATGTAATGATGTGTTTAGATTAAGAATTTTACAAATTCAAGGAATTTTAAATTCTTGGTATTTGAATTACTTTGATTTTAATTTCTATCATTTTTAAATATTTTGTTTGGATAAGTCAATTCGAATTTTTTAAATTTTAAATTGTTGAGTTGGATATGATAATTCGATTCTACCATGGTAAAAATTGATTTTAAAAATATATTTATATGTTGAGATTTTTAAATTAAATTTTATAAAAATAAATATTAGCTAATTTTTAAATATTTATAATAATTTTAAAAATTTATATTAGATAATATTTAATAATTTTAAAAATATTAAATAATTAAAAACATGAAGAGATAAGAGATAAGATAAAATATATAAATAAAATAAGAAAAAAAATGAGGAATTTCAAATTCTTACTTTTTTGGGAGAATTTAAAATTCTACTATTTCAAGGAATTTCACAAATGTTTGAATTTCAAATTCTTTATAAATTCTCCATCCAAACAAGGTATTTCACCTCAAAATATTTAAAATTCTTCAAATAAATAAATTACTCCATTTAAATTCTCCATCCAAACTTTGTCACCTCTATCTATGTATATATAAATAAATTGTCATGAGGTAGAAAATTATCTTATTCTGTTTGTTTCAATCGAAATAGTAACCAAATATAATAATAATAATAAAAAGAAATAGTATAATAGAAATATTTTCGCGAATTTGATTGCAAGGAAAAACATTAGAATAGAAATAATTCTTGTGTATATTATTCAAAAATTATTTCTCACTCCTGATATGAAAAAAAGATGAATTAGTCTTCTCTCTCCAGCGATATTAATTTTAAGTATTATTTACTCACAATAATAAATATTAATTTTATTATAATATAATTTATTTCCTTTTCATTCATTAAAACTAAACAACTGTGAGACCTGAAGCTTACTCTTTTCTCCCTCTCAACTCTATTTTCACTCATTTCTCTTTTGAACTCTCTTCTTTCCCACAAACTCTCTGAACCTTGTTGCTGATTTCATTTTTTCTAGTTGAAGTCGTGAGTGAACTAGGAGGTTCATTTTCTCAAACTTGAAGTCGTTTGGAGCTAGCCGTGTGCAGATTTTCTTCTTCTTCTTCTATTGTCTTCTTCTTCCTGGAGCTCAGATTTCTTTACCCCGAGGTAAGGGAAGCTAGTTCTTGGTTGTATTGTGTGGAAAATGAGTTTAGAAACTCATTTGTGGTCTGATGTTTGATGATTTTGGCTAAGATTGAAGAAACTTCATTTTTCGGGATTTCGGGGTTTTGATGAAAATTTGGGGTTTTTGATGATTGATGGGTGCATGTTGAAAAAGATGGGATTTTTGGGCTATTTGATGAAAATGTGGAGTTTTGGGCCGATTGCATGTGTCTGGGCTGTTGATTTTTGCATGTTTTTGAAGAAATTTTTGAACTTGGTGAGTTGCTGCTTGGTATCACGTCGGGCGCAGTTCTTGGCGCCGGGCGCGTGACCACCAGAGGGCTCCATTGGGTAAGCCCGTGCGGGCGCAAAGTTGTGTGCACCGGGTGAGCTTGAGAATAGGAGCCTCTGGATGGCCCACGTTGGGCGTGGTTGGACCGCGCTGGGCGCGATATCAATGATTAACAAAGGTTTTGGGATTCTGGTGTGGTGCCGGCGTGACTATGTCTCGCCGGGCGTGAAGACTACTTGGGAGTCTCTACTAGAGGTGGCACCAGGCGCAATTGAAATTGCGTTGGGTGTGAGACCTTGGGGAGGTCTCTGCCTACCGTACGCCGAGCGTGGGTTTGGCACGCCGGGCGTGTGAGGCTCTTTGGAGTCTCTGCCTCCTAACACGCCGGGTGCAATTGGTATTGCACTGGGCGCATTTGAGCCTTGGTACTCTCTGATTGGGCCACACCGGATGCGACCATGAGTGCACCGGGCGCGGATGTGATCTTTGTTTATATGCTAATATGTGTTGAAAATGCTGATAGATGTAGATGTTTGTGGAGTCGGGCTGTGATTGATGAATGTTGAGCTGATTTATAATGCTGTTATGTCGTGGGTTGATTAAGTTGTGTTGTATAATGTTGAGTTGTACTATATGTTGTTATTGTTGTATTGTGTTGTGCTGCATGTTGATATAAAATGTAGGTCGTAAGGCTGAGCTGTAGTAGGCCGTAAGGCTGAGCTGTTGTAGGCCGTAAGGCTGAGCTGTTGTAGGCCGTAAGGCTGAGCTGTTGTAGGCCGTAAGGCTGAGCTGTTGTAGGAGATCTCCGAGCTGATATGCGTGACGACGCATTGTGTGTTTACTGCTGTTATTGCTTAATGATATGAGATGTATGCTGTGATGAGTTGTATGCTGATGATTGCCAAACTATATGATGTGCTGATAGTTGTAATTGTTCATATTTCTTATATATATTTTTTATATGCTGATTCTTTTCACTAGCTTACCCTTTGTTGTTTCCATATGATTTGGACCGCAATGATTATACTATGTATTGGAGCAGAACAAGGATAAGTTGGTGTTGAGGCAGGTCTGCAGCTGGTAGATGGAGTGGAGTTTATTCTTTTGTTCTTTTGTTGTTCTTAGCTACTTAGTGTAGCATTGTTGGATGTATTTTGTATACTCTGATTTTTTTTAAGCCCCAGATTAGACCTTGTGTATATATTTTAGCTATTTAATTAATAATTTTTTTAATTATTGTGGATAAACTTAAAGACATGTAAAAAAACGAGGGAATAATTTTTATGTATTTCTTTCCTCACGGTCAAACACTTTATAAGTTTACTTTGGGTGATCCGGTCACAGGTTGTTGTAATTGTAAGCTGCAGTGACACAGTCCCAGCTCCCGAGTAACCCAACACTGTAGCGGATGGTTAGAGCAGCAGCGCTTCGATTAAGCGCCATGGTATCTTCAACCTCTCTCCCAAACCCTAACTTTCTCTTCGCTCCAACCCCAACCCTCTTCGACGCTCGCCTTCTTCGCTCCCACACGCTTTCCTTCTCCCATCGCCTCTCGCTTCGATGCTACGCTGCTCGCGCCGCCTTCCACCGAGTTCCCGTTCTCAATCCCATCGTCGAAATGGACGGTAACGTCTTCACGCTCTACTTTCATTTTTCGCTTCACACTTTCATTACTTTTCTTTGATGTTTTAGGTGATGAAATGACGAGGATTATATGGACGATGATCAAGGATAAAGTATGACTGCCTCAATTTCGCACTGTTTATTTATTTATTTATTTATTATTATTATTAGAGTAATACGTCAAATTAATTAAGGATAAAACTTATGTGTAATGTTTTAAGTGCCTTTAGTGATGCTTTTGGATCAGGAATAATAGAGTTTCAACTCGTTAATTCATGTTTGAAGGCTTGCATGAATGGTCAGGTTAAGTTATTAAGGTGAAACTCCAATTCTGAACGGAAAATAGCGGCAAAAGCACTTAGGAGTTTGCATATAAGTTTTATTCTTCAATTAACAGCTGAAATTATAACTTCTGGTCAATTTAGTTTTTGAAATAACTGTTTTAGTTCACGATGTTGGCAAATGAGGACTAAAATGATTGACTTGCAATAATTTTAGGGATTAGTTTAGGGTATTTTGGTGGCTTTGGATTTGCTTTTAATAGGAACAAGTGGTTTTGTGCGCTGCAGCTTATATTTCCTTACCTGGATTTGGACATAAAGTATTTTGATTTGGGGCTTCAAAATCGTGATGCTACTGATGACAGAGTTACTGTGGAAAGTGCTGAAGCCACTCTCAAGTGAGTAATTTCAAATCAATGCAAGCGACAAAAAGCATGCATAGGAATTTAACTTTTTATGCTTGATTCTTGTTGTTATTGAGAGTGGATGTTATGGCATAGTTTGGTCTCTTAAAAGGGAGGTATAAAGAAAGATTAAACTAGCATATAAAGTTTTTGGACCTGGTAAGAATTTGATAGCCATGTAATGTGATAGGTAACCCTGGTTAGTTACTTAGTTAATGAGTCACTTTGTGAGTCAAGTGGGTTTATATTAGAAACATGGGGGATCAGCCTGCAATTAGTTGGACCCATTTAGGATATTTTCTTCTGTTACATTCTGTTAATGAGTTACTTCCTATAAGAGGGTGGTATCTGTATGATATCTACAGACTTTTGGAGAGTTAGAAAGTTTGGAGGAGTGGATCCAGACCTCTTGAAATCTCTGGAGCAGTCTATCTTTCATAAGGAAATCTTGCCTAATTATTCTCAATAAAATTCATTCTTTTTCACTGTTTTGTACCAGTTCTATCATAATGGCACTTGTTTAAAAGAAAATAGTTTACACGTAAGACAACCACTTGCTGTTTGTGTTTGCCTTATTTGAATTTCCATCTAGATGGTTGAAGTCTAAGTATGTGTTCAGACAATTTGTTTGGGGCCAACTAAAACTCTATAAGCTTTGCACTTGTCTTCCTACTTTAGCAGTTTTATGGTTGTTGAGGTTTAAAAATTTGTTTTACCTTTTACCCAACAGAGGAAAATATTTTTTGGCAGTGGTATTGTTCAGTTCATGCAATTCTGTGGTACATTTGGTTGGAGTGAAACACTTGCATATTAAAGGGGGTTTCTCTGCCTTTAACTTACATCTGTGTAGGATCATACTTTTGGTCTCTCTGTGGTGCTCTGCCAGATTCTGGTTCAAGTAATGTGCCATCAGTTACAGTCTAAAGACTTGTATAGGATTGTACCACCTTGCTGGATTTTTTTAATTTCTTTTCACTTGATTGTACTTTTCTTCTTGCTTTAGTGACTTTCTTCTGCTGCTTTTAATCATCATTCTCTGTCTTTGTTCTAATAACACTACATTTTATAAACAAATTTTGGAACTCCTTCCCATTTGTTTATTGAGGCTTCTGTTTGCTGCAGGTACAATGTTGCTGTGAAATGTGCAACAATAACTCCTGGTTAGTTGTACTTGGATTTAAATTGACCAAATATTGTATATCAAGATTCATAAATTAATGGACAACTTTGTTCCATGATGACAAGTTTTGCTACATGTAGTGTACTAGCATGTTCATGTTACCTAGTGGACAGTAGTGTATTACTTTGATATATTTACCATTTTTGCAAGAATGATATCATCTTAACTCTTCCAAATTTTCAGATGAGACCCGGGTGAAAGAATTTGGACTGAAGTCTATGTGGAGAAGTCCCAATGGCACAATTAGGAATATTTTAAATGGTTTGTAACATGCTCATTGTATTGATTACAGACATCAAATTTATGTTATCCATTGACTTTACCCAGTTACTGCAAAAATGGCTCTTTTCCTTGCATGTTTCCTTATTGTTTATTGAATTTAAACGACCATGTATAAAGGATATTAGTTTGCATAGGGGAATATTGTCTTTTTATGTGAGACGTTTTATCTCTGATAGTTGCAGAATTTCAATATTTGAATACTTAATTTGGTAACATATACAAGTAAATGTTAAATTTGTCATACAATTTCTATATGTTATGCTGCAGTTATTCAATACTTTTGATAAATGTGCTGATGTTGACATAATCCAATTATTTATTTGTTTTAACATATTTGTCTTTAGCTTGTAATTTTAGTTTTTCTTGTCAATCGTCTTGAAGCATGTCTATATTTTCTAGTTCATTTTTTTGTTAATATCTGATCGTAAGTCATAACTGTATTGTTGCTTCACTTGCTTGCCTTGTTAGTAGCACTGAATTTGTCACGATTCATGAATTTTCCAACATTAATAAACTTCTTCATATGTTGATATTTTTAGATGATTGAGAACATGACGTCGTAAATGATTTTTTTTGTTTCTTTTATATACATCAATTTTCCTCATCATAAATAGTTTGCTACGGGTTGTGCACATTCTAAAATTAATATTATATGTTCACATTGTCTGTTATTAATTGTCAAGGGAGGGAAATCCTAGGCTGTGAAAATAAAGGTTAGGAATCTGGTTCTTGGGTTGTTTTACAGGTATAAATTTCTGGTAGTTTATTTTAGCTGCATCTTTTATGACACTATGTGAATCCTAGCAATCAAAATGTATTGTGTTTGAAGTTACTTAATAACAAATGTTCTGAACTCAAGTGAATTAAGCTTTTGTTCTTTGTCTGTTTAAAATTTTTCTTCTGTTCCAAAACTTTTTCAAAATTTTCTTTGTGATATTTTTCTTTTTTCTTTCTTTCTAGGTACTGTTTTCCGTGAACCCATAATATGCCGCAACATACCCAGAATTGTTTCTGGTAATGCCTCAACTCTAGTTTGATCTTAATGGAGTTGAAATACAGCTAAGCACCATTGAGAACTTATTTTTTAGTTTACAGGATGGAAAAAACCCATTTGTATTGGTAGGCATGCTTTTGGTGACCAGTATAGGGCCACTGATGCAATAATAAGCAGACCAGGGAAGCTTAAGTTGGTATTTGGTATGTTAATTTCCAAAGCCCCGCTTTCAATGGAATTGAAATTTTTAATTTATTCATTAGAATATCAAACATGTTGTTTACAAACTTGTGTTTATGTCTAACTTAGTCCCAGAAGATGGTGATGCTCCAACGGAGCTTGATGTTTACAATTTCAAAGGCCCAGGTGTTGCACTTGCTATGTATAATGTTGATGAGGTTTGCTTCATTTCATTTTTTTTCCTTATGTAAAATCTGCAGTATGTTTTAATTAAATATTCAAAGAAATTGCTTTTGTTGTTTTGATTGTATTTTAACAATAGCTTTCATAATGTGTCAGTCTATTCGAGCATTTGCGGAATCATCAATGTCACTGGCATTTGCAAAGAAATGGCCACTTTACTTGAGCACCAAAAACACAATTCTAAAGAAATACGATGGCAGGTGATTATTATTAAATGGTTGGATTTTTTTTTCATTTTTGTCAGGTGCTTGTCCCTAGTATCAGCAGTTAGTTTGAGCAGACTCCATTACAGTTCTGATTGTATCAACAGTTGGTTAGTAGTTAGACAGTCAACAGCATTAAGAATCGGAGGGAAACAATTGTGGAGAGGTTTTAGAGTTTGAGTAGGGATTGGGTGGGGAGAACAAAGACTCTCAAATTTCATGGGATTTTGAGATATTCAGTTATGTACTATATCTTCCCTCTAGGTTCTTGCAATCAGCCCTGATTCAGTTTAGGAATAAGAATGATATCCAATAAAGCTCATCTTTTACTTTTTTTTCTTCCTAGTCTTGAAGTGTCACCTTTGTATGATAAACTTCTCTGTAATTCAGACAGACTTTTTTGTTTGTTTTGTTGCTATTGGAAATGATTTGCTGTTTGTCATTATTACAGATTTAAGGACATATTCCAGGAGGTGTATGAAGAAAGGTGGAAGCAAAAGTTTGAAGAACACTCAATATGGTTTGTTTTGATGTTTGTGAATCAATTTGATTTGACGCGATACATATACAAAGATGGTTGACAATTTTAAGTGACTTCAGGTATGAGCATAGGCTAATTGATGACATGGTGGCGTATGCACTCAAGAGTGAAGGTGGATATGTTTGGGCTTGCAAGAATTATGATGGTGATGTTCAAAGTGATTTACTTGCTCAAGGTAATATAGACTGGAGAACTTATCTTTTATGTCCAAAATGTGAACATGGTTGGTAAGTATGATGATAGTATGTTTGATGTCAGCAAGCAGTAATTGGTTGATTAACCAGAGCCCTGCCTCACACTTCTGATTATCCAAAGGTGGTCATAAGTTTCTTCAATACAAAAAAAATAGTATATCCTAGTCCAGTAGTCCTAGTCATTTGGCTCAATTATCATATAAATCAGGATACTTGAAAATTGAAATTGGGACCATAAGTACAGGCTATGCGAGCTCTTTTCATTATTGAGGACCCTAAATGTAGAGATGATAACATCATAATTTGCTTTGATCGGATCTTCTAATTATTACTGGATAATATTATCAAATAGATTAACTTTGCTAAGATTGTAGTTATGAAAATTTTGGTTATCGCCGGCTTACTAAACCTTTATAAATTACACAAGAGAATGACCTTAAGGAAAATATTTATTGGAAAAATAAGCAATTACCAAACGTTGTTATAAAATGCCAAGTTTTGCAAACAAACAACACGTACTATCTCTTGCTTTATATTAATTTAACTGATCCTGAAAACATGGGGACCGAAAAGATTCGGCTTCCCTGGATAATAACACATGCGAGTCATAATCAACAAATAACATCTCCACAAAATAGATGTTGGACTTGGACCACCCCAAAAGCACACACTTTCCCTCTAATGGAAACTCCAAATATTGCGGGGGCATGCCATTAGGAACCTTGCTCTTAAGTCTTAATTGGTCACTTCTTGAAACACCAACTAAGAATTATTCAAGTAAACCTTTCAAGTCGTTCAAAGATGCATATATTATTAATTGGGTTCTTTCATTTTTTTGTTAATATCTGATCGTAAGTCATAACTGTATTGTTGCTTCACTTGCTTGCCTTGTTAGTAGCACTGAATTTGTCACGATTCATGAATTTTCCAACATTAATAAACTTCTTCATATGTTGATATTTTTAGATGATTGAGAACATGACGTCGTAAATGATTTTTTTTGTTTCTTTTATATACATCAATTTTCCTCATCATAAATAGTTTGCTACGGGTTGTGCACATTCTAAAATTAATATTATATGTTCACATTGTCTGTTATTAATTGTCAAGGGAGGGAAATCCTAGGCTGTGAAAATAAAGGTTAGGAATCTGGTTCTTGGGTTGTTTTACAGGTATAAATTTCTGGTAGTTTATTTTAGCTGCATCTTTTATGACACTATGTGAATCCTAGCAATCAAAATGTATTGTGTTTGAAGTTACTTAATAACAAATGTTCTGAACTCAAGTGAATTAAGCTTTTGTTCTTTGTCTGTTTAAAATTTTTCTTCTGTTCCAAAACTTTTTCAAAATTTTCTTTGTGATATTTTTCTTTTTTCTTTCTTTCTAGGTACTGTTTTCCGTGAACCCATAATATGCCGCAACATACCCAGAATTGTTTCTGGTAATGCCTCAACTCTAGTTTGATCTTAATGGAGTTGAAATACAGCTAAGCACCATTGAGAACTTATTTTTTAGTTTACAGGATGGAAAAAACCCATTTGTATTGGTAGGCATGCTTTTGGTGACCAGTATAGGGCCACTGATGCAATAATAAGCAGACCAGGGAAGCTTAAGTTGGTATTTGGTATGTTAATTTCCAAAGCCCCGCTTTCAATGGAATTGAAATTTTTAATTTATTCATTAGAATATCAAACATGTTGTTTACAAACTTGTGTTTATGTCTAACTTAGTCCCAGAAGATGGTGATGCTCCAACGGAGCTTGATGTTTACAATTTCAAAGGCCCAGGTGTTGCACTTGCTATGTATAATGTTGATGAGGTTTGCTTCATTTCATTTTTTTTCCTTATGTAAAATCTGCAGTATGTTTTAATTAAATATTCAAAGAAATTGCTTTTGTTGTTTTGATTGTATTTTAACAATAGCTTTCATAATGTGTCAGTCTATTCGAGCATTTGCGGAATCATCAATGTCACTGGCATTTGCAAAGAAATGGCCACTTTACTTGAGCACCAAAAACACAATTCTAAAGAAATACGATGGCAGGTGATTATTATTAAATGGTTGGATTTTTTTTTCATTTTTGTCAGGTGCTTGTCCCTAGTATCAGCAGTTAGTTTGAGCAGACTCCATTACAGTTCTGATTGTATCAACAGTTGGTTAGTAGTTAGACAGTCAACAGCATTAAGAATCGGAGGGAAACAATTGTGGAGAGGTTTTAGAGTTTGAGTAGGGATTGGGTGGGGAGAACAAAGACTCTCAAATTTCATGGGATTTTGAGATATTCAGTTATGTACTATATCTTCCCTCTAGGTTCTTGCAATCAGCCCTGATTCAGTTTAGGAATAAGAATGATATCCAATAAAGCTCATCTTTTACTTTTTTTTCTTCCTAGTCTTGAAGTGTCACCTTTGTATGATAAACTTCTCTGTAATTCAGACAGACTTTTTTGTTTGTTTTGTTGCTATTGGAAATGATTTGCTGTTTGTCATTATTACAGATTTAAGGACATATTCCAGGAGGTGTATGAAGAAAGGTGGAAGCAAAAGTTTGAAGAACACTCAATATGGTTTGTTTTGATGTTTGTGAATCAATTTGATTTGACGCGATACATATACAAAGATGGTTGACAATTTTAAGTGACTTCAGGTATGAGCATAGGCTAATTGATGACATGGTGGCGTATGCACTCAAGAGTGAAGGTGGATATGTTTGGGCTTGCAAGAATTATGATGGTGATGTTCAAAGTGATTTACTTGCTCAAGGTAATATAGACTGGAGAACTTATCTTTTATGTCCAAAATGTGAACATGGTTGGTAAGTATGATGATAGTATGTTTGATGTCAGCAAGCAGTAATTGGTTGATTAACCAGAGCCCTGCCTCACACTTCTGATTATCCAAAGGTGGTCATAAGTTTCTTCAATACAAAAAAAATAGTATATCCTAGTCCAGTAGTCCTAGTCATTTGGCTCAATTATCATATAAATCAGGATACTTGAAAATTGAAATTGGGACCATAAGTACAGGCTATGCGAGCTCTTTTCATTATTGAGGACCCTAAATGTAGAGATGATAACATCATAATTTGCTTTGATCGGATCTTCTAATTATTACTGGATAATATTATCAAATAGATTAACTTTGCTAAGATTGTAGTTATGAAAATTTTGGTTATCGCCGGCTTACTAAACCTTTATAAATTACACAAGAGAATGACCTTAAGGAAAATATTTATTGGAAAAATAAGCAATTACCAAACGTTGTTATAAAATGCCAAGTTTTGCAAACAAACAACACGTACTATCTCTTGCTTTATATTAATTTAACTGATCCTGAAAATATGTATCCATTCTGGTTTGGTTGTAATTTCATTTTTTTGTTCATGTCTTTATGGAATGTGAAAGAGAGCATTTGAAATTTGGTGAAATGAATACTTTTAACATGCTAGGAGGCATCTTTTAAATAAAGTTTATTAAATTGTGTGCAGGATTTGGCTCATTGGGTCTCATGACTTCTGTGCTGGTGCGAATTAGAATATTAATATTTCAGCATTTTTTCATCAACATTGTTATCTTTATTTTGGTTATTGGAACTCATACTTCATTTTACATCCAAAATTTTGCAGTTATCTTCTGATGGCAAGACATTGGAAGCTGAGGCAGCTCATGGAACTGTAACTCGACATTTTCGGTTTCATCAAAAGGGACAAGAAACTAGTACGAACAGTATTGCTTCCATATTTGCATGGACACGAGGACTGCAACATAGGTACGTTGTTTCTTGATTCAAGCTGGTGCAATTTGATGTTCTTTGAAAGTTTTCCTTTGTTAATCTCATTTCCATGTATGTGCAGACACTTCAATGTTTTAGCATAAGTTTTAAATTGCAGTAAGTAATATAATTGGATAAACTGTAATCTGTTTCTAATGCATACACATGAAAGTGGCTAGTGGCTACCATTTTTTGATGTTACTGAATTAGGAAATGGCCTTCCATATTTATGTGGCCTTCCTCTTTTCAGCTAAGTTTTTTTCCCAGACTAACGTTGAACACATGATATGCCATTTTGGAAGTCTACTATGAAAATGTGGTCTAACTATTTTTGAGGTTGACAGTTTTTCTCATCGTGTTTTCCATATGGTGTGATAACTATAATACGTCATCATCTCTGTTGTGGCGTTGTTTTTATGGTGATTAGGATGCCATTTCGATTGTGAGTAAAACTATTTTTATGGACAAGTGCCATTGGGTGTTCTTATAACTGGCAGAATGTGGAAAGCTGGAACTGGAAGAACAGATAGTCAGATACTTATATGCTGATTTTAGAAAGACCTAGATGAGGATTGAACATGTTATCTAGTAAAAAAAGAGCAATTTGTCAAGGAAATGGGATTGAAGCTCTCCTTTTGGGAGGTGCCATTTCACTTGCTACTTGGGGGGGCTGGGGGGAATTGCACCCAAGTTTCACCCCCTTTTTTTTCCTGAGCTCGCCTGTGCTGTGTGGGTCCTTTTGCTCATGATTTTTGTACATCAGATGGAAAGGTATCTCTTATTGTTTACTGGTTTTAAGGCAAAGAGCCCAATGTATTCCATACTGTAGTTTAGTTCATAGGTTAGCCGGGCTGACTTCCATCAGGCAACAGACAAAACATGTTTCTCTTTATACTCTCCATTTAAGATGTACTTAGCCGTCTAATTTTGGTTGATGGACTCATTTTGAATTATCTACGAGAGGACATGCGGTGATGTGTTATGTTTCTGCAAGTAAAACACACTTTTACTAAATCTGAAATATCAACAAGATGAAATCCAAACATAGTCAGTTTGACCAAACAAGGGATACAGGACAGAGAAGGAGAATCACAGATTCCACACATCCTCCCTGCTCTACTCACTGCCTAAATATATCCATCACTAATTTTCTTCCGTTGCCTTAAATTTCCATGTTTTCTTTTTCACATGAGAACCATGCCTCACGCTACATGCTGCCACTGCCTCATCAGTCGGATTAATTGCCCACATGTCCTTGCGCTTGGTTTAATTCTGTCATATTTATGTTCTTGTATAAACTGATTTATTTATTTTTCCCTCTTTCATGTTCTCCCTTCCTTATTCTTTCCCTTTTCTCTGAAATTGTTATTGACATGATTCTGTTATTATTTACAAGAGCCAAGCTAGATAATAATGAAAAATTACGGGATTTTACTCATAAGCCAAAAATCTGTAAGGGTTTACATTTAGAGGTTGTTGGATGGCATTTAAAAAAAACAAAGAATTTTACATGGGGATAGGCTAAACTGAGATGAATATTCATGAATATTTGTTTAGAGATTCACATATATGGTACTCGGTAACATGAGTTCTACTACTCCAAGCATAACATTCCTATTTTAAAAGCATGCAATAAATCAAAACTAAATGTACTAAACAGTGTCAATACAGGTATAGGGAGTCCGTGGGAACTTACTTTATTCTCACATAACTTGCAGGAATTTGGGGCAAGGGTGCATCTCCTTCCCTGAAACATTAGTCTGAAATTAGTACTTAAAAAAATAACCCAAAAAAGGATGTATAGAACATATATAGTATGCACAGGATTTCAAAGATTTGATATCTCACTGGTTTTCAGAAGCTACTAAGGAGAACCAAATTGGACCAGTCCTTAAGAGTCTATTGCTGGCAGAATCTAACACAGCTTGGGGGGATATGCCTGATTCTCCAGAAGCAGGCTCCTTTTTCTTGCGTATTCTGCGCAGTTTATTGGGTTTTGCTGTGTCTGAAGAGACAGGATAAGGGCTAATCTTTTCATCATCAACTTTTGCCTTACGCTTAATTTCCTTATTTTTGGTTTTCTGCACTTGAGAGTCATTCTCATTTACTTGTATGGTTTCTAATTTTCCATCAGACCCTTGAACATTAGACTTAAAAGATTTACTCCTACTTGCAACCTCTACTAAACAATTCAAAGGTTTCCAAAGATCCAATTTTCCATCCCATTGTTCAGCACCATTCTCTGATCCTTTATTGGGTATGGATTGACTACCCTCACAAGGGGACATACTCTACACCAAGAAAAAAATTTAAGCATAAGATTATGAGTAAAATAATGCTATAATAATTACATGAATCAAATGAACCATGACCAAAAAAAAAAAATGGAGACAGAACAATATATAACAAGCTCAACTGGAAAAGCCATATTGTCTCTCCTACTACCTGTCCAGAATTCTGAGCAAACGCTTCTACAATTTTGGCCATACTCACTATTCCAGAACGGCCGGCCGTTCTGGGCCATGAATTGGGCCAAAGGCCCACAAAAAATGGGCTGTTACACCCCCCGCGTAAAATTAACACGAGATTAATTGCGTGTTTATAGCCTTTGTAATTTTTACTGGTTTGTGGCATGCATCTTGTTGGACACTTGACCATGGGATATTAACCAAGTTGAGTGCTATTAACATATTTAATAATATACTAAGTTTTAACACTTTCTCAGTTATTGGTTAATTTTTTTTTAAACTATAAAATCATGAGATTCGTTAAATAAAAAAGTGATATCAGAAAACTGTGATTTTTAATAAATTTTAGCTTATAATAGACTGTCGCAGGAATTCGTCATTAACAATATATTACTGTATGTCTAATTGTTTTGGACATCTGAATTATGTGTAGGGTATCACGAGAATTTTACTTGAACACGGAGGAATTTATTGATGCTGTGGCACACAATCTTGAGACAAAGCTCCGAGAGCCCGCAGTGTCTAGGCACTAGTTTTGCTGAGGAAAGGAGGAACAAAAATTGGAAAAGCTGAACAGTGGTTTGTGGGTGGCTACTCTTTTGACCATTGATATTACTGTTATTGGTTGAAATCACGGTGCCCTACAATGTCACGAAAACTTTAATCGTTGGGGGGTTCTGACAATTTCATCTTTGATTCTTGAGACTTTTGGCCACTGGCTTTCCCATTCTAACACGCCACCATCATAGTTTTATAAATGGTAAAATCCGTGGCCATGAACCAGCGGAATTTGGAAAGTACAAAATTTTGATGAGAATAAAGCAAATGGCGGATTATGATTTTTGTCAATTTGATTTATTTTCTTTGATGAACCATTTATGTGGCTTTTTCTATTCGTGGGTAAAACAGGCACCTGGGATGAACTCAGTATTTTAGCCAATTTTCAAATATCTATCTGTTTCACCCAACTAGAATGAAAATTAAAACAATAACTAATAAAGTCAATTACTAAATTACACCAAATACTAATAACTAATGTTACTAACTTACGCCATTGATATGGGATATATCTAATTAAGCTAATTAAATTTAGTATTAGTTAACTCTAATTACTTTTTAATTTGACAACTTATATTATGAATAAGGTACCTAAATAAAATAAAATATCTTTAATTTAATTACTAATTTTTTTACCTAAAGTATTATGCATATTACTTACACTAACTTGGGTACATTGCTAAGACTAACCTAGGTACATTACTAATTAACTTGGGTACATTACACACTACTTAGACTAACTTAACACATTACTGTAAAGCTAATCTAATTAATTGCATTGAAATAAACCAGAAACGAGCCATAACAAAGGAAGAAACATACTTAATAGCTAGGAACAGTTGTAGCAGTGGAAGGGCACAAAGTGCCTTTGAAATGGTGGAGTCGGTACTAGAAAAGAGATGTGGAGGGCTCAGCGGTGCCAAAAATAATGTCATAAACTTAATTTAATTTAAGAATTCATCGAATTAAATAGTTTAACTAATAATTTTATTTAACATCACTCCTAATTTAAGGTTAATTTTTCTCCTACTAACGAGTAATGAGTGACTTAAATTGTTAACCAACTAATGAAGACATCAACTTACATGAACTCAAGGAGAATCAATAATTAACAAGACCGACCACCAAAATTAATTTTTATAAAATAAAAATATTACATATATAAAAAAAATCATGTGTTAACAAAAAGACAACATATTCTTTTATTTAAAGAAAAAATTTTCTCCCAATTTTTTTTTAGACTTGATGAGCCGAACCAAATAATTAACATATTTCTTCATTTCTTATATAAAGTATCGTATATAGTGCCTTATACGCATGGCCCACAAGTGAAGTAGAAAGGAAAGCGTCATGTCCATTTTATTGATGAAACCTAATACATACAAATACTTGCAAGTTCGCAACTAAAAAATTTAGGTTCTCTAATTCATCTATACAAGCATTGCATTGCATTGTTGCTTTCTCAAATCATTTTCAATCAGTGACCTCTACAGCATTATGGAGTGGTTATTCTGAATATCTACTATCACAGCTACAAATAATTGTACATGAAACTAAATCCAAATTTGCATAATTGGTGGTCCTTGTTGGTCTTTTCTATGGGACGATATCAACCTTGAATTAAATCTCTCGCATTCTTTCAACCCTAACTTAGTAACGCTGAAAGCGAGTGGAACGTGGTCCATTTGTACTATTATTATTATTTTATTTAATTTTCACTTCATTTCTTTTCCTCTTTTATCGATTTATGAGGTCGTGGGTGCTTTTTGTCTCACAAATCTATCCTCTACCATAAGTATTTCAGTTCGAATCCGGTAAGATTATAATCTATACTTGGAATACCCTTTTTTAGTAACTACCTTGGTCTCCACTTTTCTTGACCATTATGCCTTTTTATTTTAAAAAATTTATACTAATATATAAAAGAGATACCTTTTTGGTAACCACCTTGGTCTCTACTTTTCTTGATCATTATGCCCTTTTATTTTAAAAAATTATAATTTTTTTAATTAAATTTAAGAACTTGAAATTAATGAATTTATACTTCTATGCTAATATATAAATGAGATATCATTTTCAATAACTACTTTTGGTTTCTATTTTTACATTAATCATTTTATTCTTTATTTATTTTTTAATAACTACCTTTTTTATGAGTAACTTCTCATTTTTTTTAATACAATGTAGATACGAAATGTCTTTTTCCTGCTAGTACATAATAAAGTTTTTCTTTCGAATATTTATCACAACTATGTATTTAGACTTAAATTTAAAATTATTGGTTAAGCTGAAACAATCACTCACCATCGTGGGTGCTTTTGTGTTAAAATATGTAAACGATTTTTTTTGTTTACCAAATTGGCCTTCTTCACTTTTTAATATGAATAATTGACTTTTCTTTGAAATAATATGCGAAATTGACCTTTATTCATTGTTAAATTGTGAATTTGGGATTACAAAACCCGAATTCACACTTCTCTGTCGTTTGATATATGCATCATCTACATTTGGAATTCGGGATTTCAAAATCCGAATTCTGAACGAGATTTTAAAAAATTGATTTATTATAATTTAAATAATTTTTAAATATTTATTTTAATATTTTAAATGATAACATAAATTATATTGTTATCTCAAGAAAAATAAGAATATTATATTTATATGTTAAAATGTATATTTTGTCTATTTAATTTAATACCATTAATATAAATTATATTTTTTTAAAAATGTAAGTATTATATTATCATTCAATCATCACTTTATATGTTAAATTGTGGGTTGTTTAAAAAAAAATATAATAGTTTAATTAATATTTATTTTTATATTTATTGGAATTATTTTCTTATAATTGCTTTAATTAATTAAATAGGTTTTATAAAATATTTTAGAATTTTTTAATAATTATGATTATAAATATTTATAAAAATTATTTTGTATAATATTTATTATAATTTTTATGATATTTTGTTATAATAAGTATTTGGAAAAAAATATGTATTTTTATTGTAATTGTTTATATATTTTATTTTAATTATGATTGTGTTAGAAGAAATAGATTTATTTTATATATTATATATTTGTTAATTATTAATTATTGTATTTTGTTATAATTATTTGGATTGGAAGAAATATTTTTATTTGATATTATTTATTTATAAGTTTTAATATTTGAGGAAAAGAAAAAGATAACCATAATTAACGTATTTCTACTAAAAGGTGTGGATTAAGTTTTTAAAAAGGAGTTACAATAATTTTTTTTTATACTTCTCATTTTTTGTGGTTCTAAAGAATGAGAAGGAGAACTAAAGCTCGTAGGAGAACACCTTAGAGATTTACGTCGTTCATCAAGTGTTCATCAAGGTAAGAGAAAGTGAGAAATCTCGCACTAGGTGTTGGTTTGTATGCTGGATAGTGGAATTAGTCCTAATCTTGTGTTTGTTGTATGCTCATGTACTAAGGATTTTTTTTCTAATTGTGTATGTTTCACTTTTTGTTCTTCTTGTATGTAATTACTTGTATGAATTGCTTGAATGGATGATCGATTTCATGTTTTGAGATTGTAATTGTATGATTTGAGATCTCTATGTATTTTTTGGGAAACCCTAAGGGAATGCATTAGTGATTGTACGAGGAGATTAATTAGGTATGTAGTTATATGTATAAATTGTGTCTTTTAGAAGTGTAACGTAACCTATAGAGAATTTTTATCAATTGGATTTAGACAAAAAAATTGGATGTGACTTGTGTCAGATTCCGAAAATTCTAGTATGAACATACCTATGTATTTATCTAATTTCTCTAGGTTTGGATAATGAAATTGTTTTTATTGTTGAGTTAGAAAGTAGACTTTTAGAGTTATAGTTTAGACTCAAGAATCACATAAAAATGTTAAGGAATGACTGAGTTATGTGAGTTAAAAGATGAACATCATATTCTATGCGCAAAATATAACGTGCATACATTGTAAGCTTTTCAAGTAAACTTAAATGAAAGAATTAGGTTTTGTGATTCTCATGAAAGTTGTAGCCTTAGATATTAACTTTCAAAATGTTGTTAGAATCACCTAAAAATGAGGTATATAACTCAAGTTATGATCAAATTAGTGAGAAAAGGTCAGACAGTTAGATTTAGATTGAAACATTATGGTTTTTTATTTATTTAAAATAATAGATGACATATTTAGCTCTTGATGTCAATATAGAAGTTGGATATAATTGTATTAACTTTCTAATAAAATTAAGATCAACTTGATATCATATATATATATATATAGCTCTAGATATGACATTTGGATCACACGATGTCTTAGAAGGTTAAGTTGTGGAAATGTAGTTTGTAATGAGGATAATGAATAACTTTATCCTTTAAGTGTTTGATCTTATAAATAGTTTGAGATACTTATATCAATGTTTAGGAATGATGAATTATGGTAGAA